GCTTTAATCATTAAATCTTTAAGCTTCTGACTCATTGGCAAAAATACGAATGCACCTAAGCTGTCCTTCAGTGTTTTCAAATTCAGAGTACCAGTACAGTAAGTTCCGGGTATATAATGAAGCTTTTTTCGTAGAAATGCATAAGGTCTGACTTGTTACCCGTTACTTTAAAACCACTGCCGTATTCCTGATCCCGGCGTTCGTTTCGTAAACTTCTTAAGAAAGGTACCCAAGCCTTCATGGGTAGTACCTGACTTGATCGTACTTAAACTTCCGATTGAGCTTTCAGACATGCCATACTATGTTATCTACTTGTGTTATATTATTCCTTTGCTCTGGATTGCAAGTAGTATGCAGTACCATTCCTAAAAAGTTGATGCTGCCATACGACTAATAATTAAATTCTCTTGTTTCGGCATAGTGGAGTTTACTAAACGCTAGGAAATTACTATTCTTTGTTACTAGTGCTACTTGTTTATTTCTTGCAAATCAGTCATTCAAAATTTATTTTCTTATGTAGCGCGCCTTGCAATATGTATTCATATAGTGCGCCTTTTGCCCATATATCACTTCGGTTTTGACGTTTTAGCCTAGAAGCACTGCTAAGTAAGTCGTATTTCGGGTTTCTGCACATAGGCATGCGGCATCATCTTTCTAGTTAATGGGTTAATCAGGAAAGCATTTGAACCTTAAGTAGTGAGGCTAATTTTAAAATAAGGGACATTCTCTCCCTGTTGTGAACACGAAGCATAAAAGCATGCTGCCGCTTAGGGCGACAGTTGGACAGCAGTGTAAATCACGGAAAACATCCAGGAAGTCTTAGATAGAAAAAACAGAGCCAGCAAATATGACAGTTAGTAAACTGAATGTTAACTGATTGGAAATGAATGAGAGCAGTTTGGAGTATCAAAGCACTGCCAACTTGGTATATTTGGCCACTCTTCTCCTTAGTGCTGCAATTTCATGTTCTTCGACTCAAAAACGAATGCAATGTTTTAAGCTCTGAAATTGATCCAACCATGTCCGTTCGTGCAGGGGTGCAAAACTGATGAGGCCCAGTTGACAAATTGTGTTGTTTTCTCTTAATTGGATCTTTCTTAACTAAATGATTTACACGCTGAAGCTTGAAGGGTGGACGCTGACTTTTGTGCAAGCATGTGCCCTTAATCTGGAATCGCACGAGAAATTCTCCGAAGATCTCTACGCGGCCCTAAAAACTGTAGGTGATATGGAATTCGCACTGTTATGGGCGGATTTCAATGCAATGTTGGAATGGATAACGAGGAATGGAAAGATGTGATGCGGAGGAGCCTCGATCCCTAGATTGTGTCAAACCGAAATGGTGTCGAATGATCAAATTATCGGATTTCTGTCATACCAGCGGGCTGTCTGTAAAAAAACAACTTGCAGGATCGTAATGTTCAGAAGTCTGTCTTATACCGGATATTTAAGGTTGGTGATCACTGATCGACATGGCTTCACTTAACCTGTTTTCGTTGGTGTGGACTAAAGCAGTGCTGTCTAAAGATTAAGCCCTCGGTATTAAAGTCGATCTTCATCACCATGCATGCCTACGGTCATGAGTCATGAACTATGACTAAAAAACTTCGATTCCGGATACAAGCGGTTGAAAGGAGCTTTCTGAGACCAGTCGCTGGCTTTACGCGTCTCTTCATTGTCAGGAGTACAGAAATCTTAGAAATC